TTTGAGCAGTGATCAACCCACATGCTGATGGGAGGGGGAGAAAAGAAAGCGAAGAGAGAAGGAGAGAAAGAGTGAGAGGGAGAAAAAACAGATAAAAATGGGAACCACACAAAGGTCCCCAGGATGACAAAGTCAGGAAGAGGCACAGAAAGGTGACAGCATCACCTCCCGCCTGCTCCCACACCGCCCCAGCGATCCCTGCTGCGGCTGCACCGTCCAGACAATGGCGCTGCGAGAGCTGCTGCCTGCCCCCAGGATCCCAGACCAGGTGGGGGATGCCCCGTGGTGGGGTTGCTGGGACTGGCACCGGCATTCACCCACCCCTCTCTGGCCAAAATGGGGCTGGGGTACACCACACCGGGGCTGGGGGCTGGACTGAGCGGGATTGTAAGGAGAGGATGCTGCTGGAGTGGCAGCTGGGGAGAAGCCCCTGCTTTTTCTTGCTGAGTGAGGAAGGTGGGTGTTATTCTCTGTAGCTGGCATCACAGGAAAAATTAAATGCTCAGAAGGGCCCCGGCCTTCCCGGGGTAGTGTTCTTGGCCAAAAAGGAACCGAGCTTTTGTAGCAGCCAGGGTGCAGACTGCATCCCACCTGCTCCCGAGGAAACGCACGGGCTGACATACCCCCAGCAATCTGCCGCCAAAACTAGACCCCAAAAGACTGGTGCAAAACCTGCAGGAGCTGAAAAACTGAAGGCTCTGGGGTGTCCCTGAGGTCCCCACATCCCAGGCAGATGCAGTGCACTCAGGTCACCTCCTCCAGCTTCCCAGCACAAGTGCACAGTGCAAAGGGTGTCTTCACTAATGCCTGCATCCCTGGAACTCCCTTCCCTGGGCGTCCTGCCCTGTGGGAGCCCTGATGTAAGGCCATTCCCAGCAGTATCCCTTCAGCATCTCTTCAGCGCAAAGTGCCTGCCCATGTGGGATGTCTTGATGGCTTTTGGCTACTCAGGGGACAAGGATAATTATCGGTGTGCAGGAAAAGGGGACCAAGAGTGGCTTACATCATCTGCCTGCCTGCTGCAGTTGCACTCTTGACAGGGCAGGGATGGACCGCCGGTGACTACCAAGCACCCAGCAAGGCAGGTGCCTGCAAATGGTTTATGAATGATGATAACAACAGTGACAGCAGCAAGGATGAGCAATAACCAGCCTGCTCTGCACCGAGCCCCTGATCGAGAGTGGCTGCAGCCACTTCTCTGCGCCCAGCTGCTGCACGACAGCCGAGTTCCCAGCCTGGCCTGGCTGCTGAGCACTAACCCATCAGCGGCAGGGAAAAGCATCTCCCTTCACCCCCTTGTCGCTGGGCTAACAGGGAGCTGGGCAGAGCCAGAAGCCTCCTGAAAGGGCCCCAGCTGCTCCCCTTTCAGTCGTGCCTGCTAGGCACCAGAAACGGAGCACAGGGAGCATCCCAGGTAAGCTGCAAAACCGCATTCCTACAGAGAGAGGATCAGGTATTTCACTACAGGTTTGCTGACTTCTATTCCTGCGGCTTGATCGGTCAGGATCAACAAGCACGTCTGGAGGGTGTCAAGCCCAAGCGCTGCCCAGCTCACGCCGTACGGAGCACATTGCCCGCTCCCTACCCCCGGCTGTCCCACAGGGAGGGGCTGCCATCTCCGGGGCAGAGCGGTGCGGTGCTCGGGGGACACGGCGGCTGCATCTGCACGCTGCCAGGACAGCGATACCCCCCCGCCATGGCCACGGGTGGCTGTCACAGCCCTGCTCCTCCGGGCTGCGACAGCGGCTCCCGCCGGGATCCTGCCCGCTCACCTGCCTGTCGCCTGCTGGCGCTGCCCGCGACTTCTGCCTGCTCACCTCCGCCCGGACACGAGGCTGCTTCTTGGGGCTGGGAGCAACGCGAGCGGGAGAGGAGAGGAGAGGAGTTGTGGGGCCGCTGTGTCTGGTCCCGTGGCAGGCACCGCCTCTTCATAATGCCATCGAGCTTTTGCCAGGGGTGAGCGCCGGCCTGCCCGGCCCCTGGGATCCCCGGTGCCCTTCAGCCCCGCACTCACCGCGCTGCTGGCGGGGCCGATCTATACGGCTCTCCCGGGGCTCTGCCCTCCTCTAGAGCAGAGTCACTTTCCACATCCACCTGCTCTGAGGCTCCTTTCGGCTGGTCAGCCTGCGCGGGTGCTTTAGCAGGCTGCCGGCAGAAAGGGAGCCGGCGAGAGCAGAGGGGAGAGCCAAGCTGAAGGCAGGGAAAGGAGAGCAGGCGGCAGAGAGGCAGCTGGGACCAGGCCAGCAGCTCTTTGTACCAGTGCTGGTACTGCTTGCCAGGGAGGGAAGGAGGTGGGGAGATGTGTCAGGGTCGTTTCTCTGAGCCTTTTGCAGGGGACAGAATGGGGGACGCTGCTCCCCTCATTACCGAACAGCACCAGGCTCCTTCTGAAGTGTTTCAGGAGAAATGTTGCCATAGAAATAAAACAGCCGTCCAGATTGTGAGGAGCAGACCCACTGCCATGGTGGCAGGGGCGTGGGCAGGGTGGCGGCAGGAGCCCCTGGCTGGCGGCGTGGGGAGGCGCCGGGCTGGAGAGCGCCTTGTTCTCCTCCCTCCGGCGTCCGATCTCCAGCGAGGGCAGCGGTGGGGCTGCTGGGCCAGCATGCCGGTGCCAGGAGATGGTGGGCATCTCCTCCCCAGACAAACCAGCGGGTGAATGCCAGAACTGCCCCTGGAGCAAGCTGCCTGCTGCCAGGCTCCCAGGAGGACAGGCACGGAGGTGCATGGATCTCTGGGGCCGCGGGAACAGGGTCACATTGCAGCCAGCTCCCATCCCTCAGCAGCCTGTGCCACGGCACCACCTTCAGTGCTGCAGAACGACCCTCAGGGCTCTGAGGGCGAGAACCAGCTCAAAGGCGGCCCTTGCCTGTCCCAAGCTCCCCACTGCCAGGGAATCAGCGTCTCTCCCAAGAAGGGGCTCCAATCCCAGCCATCACCGTTAAAACCATCTTGTCTGGCGAGGACAGCCGGTGCCTCTGGGGGTTCCCGTGCGGCCCCTCGGCCCCGGTGAGGGGCACAGGAGCAGCGACGTCAGGGAGCAGGAATCCAGCCTGACTCAGTTTCGCGGCGTTGCGAGGCAGGCGCAGACGGCCTCGCTCAGCCCGTGCCATTCACAGAAAAGCGAGCGCCAGCGGGAGGCTGGGAGCCGCGTGCATGAGTAAGGATCGATCGCTGAGACGCCAGCATCCATCCATCGATCGCGGCCCGCGCTGCCGGGCTGAGCCGGCCCAGGGCAGCAGCGGGGCGTGCCCAGGGCACAGGGACATCAACTGCTGCGCACCGGTGTCAGCGGGCACAGGTGTCCATCACCGCGCCCTCCCGCCACCGACACCGCCCCAGGGATGCGGCTGCTTCCCGGGCGTGGCCGATGGCTGAGCCTGGGGTGGCCGAGAGGCTGGAGGGGCCGGGGGGACCGGTCCTGCCAGGAAACTACATCCCTCCCCAGCCACCTCCTGGCTTTCCGGTTTTCCTTGCAAACCATGGCGGGGGGCTGCAAGGGACAAGGATCACTGCCAGCACCACACGTCGGGGCACTTGTTCTTAGCACCCAAACAGGGAGAGATGGAAGAAAAAAAGGTGGAGGAGAGGGAACCCACTTTCCTCCCTATCAGCCCTCTCCAGCTTATCCTTCCTTGGGCCATCCTCCCCATTTGTCCTCTCCCCACCACTCCCCGTCCCCAGCAGGTTCACGCTTCCCCCTAAGGCACGTATTTGTCCTGTATCGATTGTCATTTTCAGTGGCTGCAAACACCGCCGGGGTGTCTCAGGCTTCTGTGGGTGCCACTTCTGGTGGCGAATGGAGATGGGGCACATTCCCACGTCTCTGCCCATGCACCTGCCTGATCCCTCCCAGGCTCCGCGTAACCCCAAGCCCTGGGCTCCTCTCCACACCGCCCACCTCCTGTGGATGCTCCTCCCAAGGAGCCAAGGAGGGCACAGAGCAGGGATGGAGGTAACCTTGGAGCTACGTCACCTCTGCCACGCGTTCCCGTGCGCACCGTCTGCCCCTCACAGCACCCCCAAGGGGAGGCAGGGGAGAAGGGAGAGGCCCCAGAGGTGCTGTGTGCTGTGCCATCCATCGATGGGGCCAGGGCTGGGCAGCAGGGATGGGAAACTCCAGGCTCTTCCCAGAAGGATTTGGATGACTCCAGGCTATGTGCCCAGGAGGGAGGGCCGTGGGGGCTGAGGGGCCAGGGATGCCCGAGGTGATCTGCCAGCACCATGCAAACCTGACTGCCCACTCCTGCCCCGGTGGGGAAGCCGATCTTGCCATCAGGAAGCACAGGCAGAGTTCCTCTGGTAGTTTGCTCATGGTTTCCTCCTGAGCTCCTTCACCCAAAGCCACCAGCCAGAAGACCCTTTGCACCGTGCCTGTCTGGGGGGTGTTGGACCACCACTGGCACGATGAGCCATGCTGGGACTAGGAGAGGTGGAAGGCAAGGGAAAGGGGGGCAAATCTGGAGCCCAAAAAGCTCCACAGGCAGCAGGAGAACAAACACATCCACTTCAGCCCCATTTGCACCTGAGGGCTTGGAGAGCAGGCCTCCAGCTGCCTCCCTCTGTGTGAACTGGCCAGGACCAGCGCAGAGAAGAATCCACAGAGCAGGAGAAGCAAAAGGTGAGCAAGACCCAGCCCAGGGCTAGAAGACACTAAGAAAACCCGGGGAACTGGAGAAATGAAGAAGTTCCCTGCAAAGGGACCGAAGCCAGGGCGGCAAGGGGGCGGGGAGGGAAGTCGGGGAGGTTTCGAGGCAGGAGCCACCCCTGCCCCTCGGCCCGCGGCCGCCCCGGGAGCCGTGCGTGCATACGCCATGCACACCAGGCAACTTTATTATTCACTGGCGCGCTCGCACGAAGCCACGCATCTCTCCCCAAGTTATATTTATAGCTGTTCCTCCGAGCGAACGCAAATGAAACAATACATTATTTTCCTAAGGGAGAAAAGCCCTTCCCGCTCTCCCGCCGGAGAGGAGAGCAGCGCGCCCGGCACCGCCTCTTACCCGGGTCCTGCCGAGGGCTGCCGCCGGCTCCAGCCGCGCCGAGCCAGCATCAGGGGAACGGGAAAGCGGCCGCTCTCTCCATCTCACCATGAAACGCCTCAGCCGGACCGCAGGAATCAGGGAAGTCTCTCTGCAGTCCTCGCTCGCCTCCAGCCCAGGTTTATTTTTTTCCCCTCCGAAGAGCTACTTCTCCGCTGCGACCTGCTCCTCTCCTAACTCTGCCCTGCCCACGCCAGCGCTCTCCTTCTGCCTCTGCCTCTCAGAATTTTTTTGCTCCCAGGAGCGTCCATCCCACGGAGTGCTGATGTGCCTTCGTGGCTCAGCGACGGGTTTAGGTCTCCCCCTCCTGCCTGGCTCCCTCCTTCTCTGGCATGATGTGCCCGTGCCCCTCGCTGCCCCCCTGCTCCAGTCCCCAGATCCCCCCTCTCCCTGACACTCTCCCTCCCGGTGCGCTCCGCTCCCTTTCCCCGGCTGCCTCTCCCCCTCGCTGATTGCTATGCAGTCGGTAGCTGAGAAGTCAGTAACTCCGTGGTAGGATCCAGCAGCTTTCCCTACTTTAGCCCATCCTCGCATGTGAGCTCAGAGCTGCGGAGCCGCCATGGGGGAGACAGAGCAGCCGTCGGCAGCGGGAAAGGGATGCTGGGGCAGCCAGGTGCCCCCGAGGAGGTGGATCCTCCTCCTGGGCTGCCGCACTGAGATTAAATAACTACCGTCAGGGGGTCCTTTCCCACCTGGATTCGGGGTGCTGGGCTGACACCTCGCCCTGAGGAAGGACCAGGCTCTCCCAGCTGGTGCAGAGTGTTTGCTGTGGGGCATTGCCTCCCCACTCTACAGAGCAGGTGATTTCCTGCCGGGATGAGCAATGCTGGGACAGGAGCTGGACACGGAGGGACCTGGACACAGAGCTCCAGGATAACGCACAGCCATCCCGGGAAACCTGTCCAAGAAACCTCCTTTGGGTCTCCACGGCCAGCAGCACCCCAGGGGCTTTAAGGAGGTCCCTTCTTGGTGACAAGGAGAGAAGGAGGGGACTCTGCTGCAGCAAAGACAGAGGCTGAAGAGGCCCCTGACCACACAAACAGTGGCCGTAGGCACAGGGTCCTGGACAGCCCTGCTCCAGGACAGCATCTTTGAGGACATGGCTTCCCTCTTGGTGTCTCATATGCTGTCCCCAGTGTTAAGGCCTGCGCTGATAAGTTAAAAAAAGATTTTTAAACCTCATTTTTTTTTAATCTCCTGTGAGCCCCAATCCTGCAAGGACCGTGACCCTCCCTCCCAAAATCCTCCCAAGATGTGGCACATGGGATGACCCCTGCACAACACGTTGTGGAGCCTGCTGTGCCCTGCCAGTACCAGTGAACACTGGCGTGGTGAGCACAGCTTGCCCCCAAAACCAGGGCACGTCAGCCCCCTGAATGGGTCAGTTCACCCCAGTGCACCCACGGCTGCTCCCTGCTGCTCCTGGGGAGCTGCTGCACCTGGATGGAGCAGGGCCAGCCTGTCCATCCCCTCTGCAGCCATCCCAACTCTTTCAGGTTCAGAGGGCTTACTTTCCCAAAAGCTCTGTCCCTAGGGCCTGTTGTGGGGCTGCTTCCCAAGAGCTGTATCTGCTCTGTATCTGACCAGTATCTGCCCAGCTGCTCTTTGGCAGAGTGTACCATCCCTCTGGCACCACGACAGGCCTTTCCTCTTCCTGTGGCGAAGGGATGAAGATGGAGCTGAGACATCTTGCTCCTTCCCACAGCAGGCAAAGCCATCAAGTGCCCTGTGGCCACCTCAGCTTCAGGTCGGGTTTTTCACCCTCTCTGCCTTTTGCTCCTCATTGCCGGCTGCCCCCAAGGCCTCACCACATTTCCCTCTGCCCTTGTGGCAGGAGGATGGATAGCTGCACCTTGTGCATGGTGTGGCAGCTTGGCACTGCCAAGAGACACGTGGCACCTCCAGAGCCAGCGAGAGGGGCGTGGGGACGCCACACTGCGGACGTCACGGGCCCCTTGGTGTCCTTGTGCCCCCCAAGTTCTGTGGCCTGACCGCCCCATGGCCGCCGGCCCCAGCAGCGGGGTGGCTCACACTCGCCGCCCCCGCCCGTCTCCACCAGCACCGTCTTTAATAAGAAGTGTGGAATATTTTAGCACCTATGTAAAAGCCACCACAGACGGTGGTGGCAGCCGTTGCCAGGGAGACGCTCCCAAAAATAGCCCCACTCCGCCAACCTTTCCCAGAGCCGCTGGGGGGACCGAGGGATGGAGGGATGGAGGGGTGGGACGAGGGATGGATAAAGGGATGGATGAAACGAGGGAAAGAGTCATAGAGATGGACAGAGGAACCTTTGGAGGGATGAATGGAGAGGAGGAGTGAAGGGTGGTTGAAAAGATGGAGGGAAGAATGGAGAGAGAGAGAGAGAGGGAGACTGGGATGGCTGGAGATGGATGGAGAGATGGGTGCAGTGGAAAGCAAGAGCTCCTGGGAAGGGGAGCAAACACTGCCTGCCCCTTCTCCTGCCTGGGCATGAAGAGAAGAGCTGCCTCTACGCCAGCAGGCCCTACTTGGACACCATTGGTCCTGCACTGCTGTGACACCAGCTAAGCCAGCACAAACCCTCAAGCCTCTCTGCGCTGAGCAGGTCTGGCTTTGGGAGTTTAAACCAGAGAACAAAGTTTTGGGCTCCTTAGCGCCTGCCATGCTCCCTCTGTGATCTTCTACCAACCATCCCATCTCATCCCCAGTGTTCCAGAGCTGCCCAGCCAACCTGACCTGCTCATGGGGGCAGAGATGGTGAGACACAGAGGTGACCCGTGGTGCTCAACCCCACCATGTTCCCCAGCCCCTCTGGGAATGCAGAATCATTTCCCTCTCTTAGACAAATCCCTGAGGCTGCCCACTCTCCCAGGAGTCTGGATGCAGCCTCAGATACATCCTGCAGTAGAAATGGAAGGAGACACCTGGAGCACCACCAGGGGCAAAACCAGAGAATCCTTCCTGATAGAAGGAAACAAATGTTTTAGTGATAAGGAAATGCCCTCTGTCCCTCTTCTCATCCCATAGCCATCACCTGACAGGCAGAGGTGGAGAAGGGCCTGGATGAAGCTGCTGCTGCCTGGCCCAGGGGCTCTGCAGGAGGAGCCTTCCAGACCAGCTGAGGCAGAGAGGGAAACCCCAAAAATAGAACTGAGGGAGGAGGGGTTGGGGGGAAGGGGGGAGAAAAATAAACCCAACAACCCCAAAATCTCATTTTTAATATCAAATCCCAGCTCACTTGCCTCCTTGTCACCCTGGCGACATTCCTTGTGGTCACCATGGAAACGGGAGGCATGGAGAGAGCATCACCATGCGGGGTGGTGGCAGCACCCGGCATTATTTTGGGAGGCAGGGAGACACCCGGCGCAAGGCGCTTTGCATGGTGGCAGGGCGGGAGGAGGCAAGGTTTATTTTTACTTGGTCCCACTCCATGTGCCAATTTTTTCTTCTCTGAGAGCCTGAGTGTCCCTTGCCCTGCAGCAGCTTTGCTGTGGCCCTCATGAGCCGCACAGGGATGGTGTTCCATGGGGATAGCCCAGCCCCACCACCCTGTTCCAGCTGGGTGAGCTTCATCGGGCTGCTCCCATGAACTTCCTGTAATGGTCACCTCAGCTGGGGGCTCCTGGTGCCAGAGCAGGAGGTAATGCTGGGAGCTGGGCCCATCAGTTCTTCTTGGGAAGGTACAAGATGAGGAGAACAAACCTTTGCCACCCCTCTGCAGGGGCTTCTTCCCTTGGCTGGGACAAGAAGCTGCAAAGAGGAGTGCAGGGACAAGATAAAGGCGAGGACTTTCTGGCATTGCACACCAGGGGATTGGAAGGGGATCTCTTGGAAGAGAGGACCCCAAATCTGTTCCTGCCCCCCATCCCTGCTCCATGGATGGAGCCCACCTGCAAAAGGGCCTGCAGAGCCACCAGGGCTGGGGCTTGACTTCCACCAGCACCCCCACGGCCTTGTGAAGCCCTGCTGAAATGCCAGGCTGCTCCACTCTGATGTCTGGAAACCCAGTTCAGGCAGTCCCTGCCCTTTGCCAGGCGTCTCCTTTGCCCTAACCCACCCTTGTCTCACTACAGTAATCCCTGCCTCAGTGCCCTGGCTGGGAACAGACAGGGCTGTCTCCAGTTTCGTGGGGCTGAGCAGGTGTTTTCCTGGCCTGTGAATCCATCTGGAAAAGCCCTGTGATGCAGGTGCTGGAGCATCAGAGAGGGAAAACACAACCGCCAACCTAATGGGCAGGGAGGAAATGTATGCAAATATATTCAGAAAGGGAGCAGTGATGCTAATAGGCTTGTTAATTATCTCGGAATTCACCAGGAATAATATTTTTACCCTTTGGTTGTTAAGGATGTTACTCCAAGCAAGCCCATAAGGACAGAGAGAGATGTGTAGGGGATGGCCACATGTCGTGGCTGGGGACAGGGAGGGCAGCAGCCAGAGCCAGCTTTGGGACAGGAGCTGGCAGGACCACACAATCCAAGAGAAACCAAATCAGACCCACATCCATGATCACACCCACAGGTGTGATTTGCTCAGGGGCAAGGAGACAAATTACTACTTCTATTAGGTTGTTCTAAAGCAACTTTAAATTAGTGATTAGATATTGACTATCCAATTGTTGGATCTTGATGCAGAGGTCCCCCTGCTGCTGCCATGAGATCTCCCTGCGGAGCTGCTGCTTCGAGGACAAGGTTCATCCAAAACAAGCTGGTCACTCAGCTTCATATATTTTCAAATGTATTAAAACTTTTTACAGCCACTGCTGAGCTCCTTTCTGTGAATTCTATAAAACCACGTAGCAGCAACCACGTGCTTCTTTCACCCAACACATTCCCCACGTTATTTGTAACCCTCTTGAAGGAATCCAGGATTAATATTTTCAGTGAAGTTTGTTTCAAACCAGCCCTTGGGAGGATCTTTTCTGTGCTCGGGGATCCACACTGCTCCAGACAGGGCACCTGAAGGAAGGGGTGCCTGGTGGGGCAGACACCAGGGAATGGCTGTCCATGAGCAGCTGTGGAAGAGCCGTTATCAATGGCTGGATAATTCAAATATCTCTCCACTTCTTTGGCTGCAGGAGCCAAGGCAGAGCGCTGGTGAGAAGGTGCTGCCGGTGGGATGGGGCCGGGCAGGGCAGGGAGCAGAAGGCAGCCGACGGAAGCAGGACAGAGGTTACTGCGCCCGTGGCGAATATCCCTGGAAAGCCTGGCCCTCCTCTGGCCGGAGGGTGTGTCCTCAAGGCCAGAGGATGGGAATCCTGCTCCCTCTGCCTTTTCCCCTTTAACCACACTTCCGTGTGTAACTTGAGACAAGCAGGGGAAGAAAAAAGAGGAAGGGAAAAAAAGAGAAAGGGAAAAGTAGCGCGGTTATTCCCGCCTCTGCCTCCTCCTCTCTCTCCTCCCCGGCCAGCCAGGAGCCACGTCACCATCACCCAGCGCTGCTTCGGGGCTGCTCTGCCTGGAGAGCGCTCCGGGACACAAACTCCAACTTCAGCCCAAGGCGCAGAGAGGAAGGCCCTGCGCTGGGAGAGCCAGAATCCACCCCGGTGCAAAAGTAAACAAGGGAGACATCCAGCCTGGCAGGGGAAAGGCATCTGCAGCCACGGTGCAGGGGAGACTGAACTTTGTGCTGCGACGAGGAAGGGCTCCGTGCTCAGGGAAAAAGGAAAGTTGAGCCGAAGGAAATCTTTCATTCAGTCGAGGCTCGGCGGAGAAAAACTTCCCGCCCTCGCCCTCCCTGCCTGCAGAAAGAGCCCCACTCCCTCCACGCCAGAGGAGTCCCCCGGCACCATGAACATCTTCCGCATCCTGGGGGATGTCTCCCACTTGTTGGCCATCATTATTCTCCTGCTGAAGATTGTGAAGTCCAAGTCCTGCGCTGGTGAGTGCTCCCATGTCCCAGGGAAGGAGGGTGGCCCTTCTCGGAGGGCAGTTCGGTGAAGGGTACAACAAAATGGGAGCTGGGAAGGCCAGTGATAGCCCATAGGAGCTGGCAGCCCTCCCCCGTGGGCTCTGAGGGAAGCCATCCTCTTTCTCTGGGAGGTCTCCCGGCCAGGAGAGGGCTGTGCTGGAAGGATGTGATGTGGCAAGGCGCACAGCCTCAGGCAGGTGATGGTCTCAGGACAGCGAGGCAAAGGAGAGGGCGGCAAGGCTGGAGGGAGGTGGAAAAGGAGAGCAAGATGTTGTGGCAGCACCAACACCAACAACCTGGAGAGGAAGCTGCTTTAGGTCGGAGGTTCTGCCAGCGGTGGGCAGGTGCCAGAGGCTGCCCCATCCCAGGGCGAGGAAATCAGGACAGCAGCTTCCTGCAGGAGAGTTTTGCTCATAGTTCACTTCTCATGAGATTTTGGGGTTGGGCTGCTGGGGCTGTGGCCATTATCACAGGTACAGGAGTGGGTGGGCCCGACTGCATCTCTCTGCCAGCAGTGGCCAAGTTCCATCAGTGCCCCGGGGCTGGTCCTGCAGCTCCTCCCTCCTGTGGCAGATGTCCCATCACACAGTCCCCTGCTGAGGTGGGCAGGCAAAGGGGGAAGGGAGGCAAGAGAAAGGCCTTTTGACAACAGCAAGCATTGAACTGGCCGAAGTGGTGAACGTGCCCACTGAGCACCAGCTCCTACAGGCAGCACTCGGGGGCATCAGCAGGAGCCTGCCCTGTTGCTTGGGAGACTCTGGCCACTCGGGGGTAGAGCTACCTCAGCACCCACACACCAGCCCTGGCTCACAAAACAACACACACATCAATGCTTCCAAAGGAGGTGTAAGGGGAAGCCACCACCCCACAGACCCTTCCCTTCATCTGCTTTACTTTCCCTTCATCTCCCTGCCATGCAGGAATCTCTGGGAAGAGCCAGATACTTTTTGCCCTTGTCTTCACAACCCGCTATCTGGACCTGTTCACGAATTTCATCTCTGTCTACAACACCGTGATGAAGGTAAGGAGAGGGCAGTGCAGCAGGAGAAGCTCCCCTCAGCTCGCTGTGTTTTCCTGGGGGGGTGAGCATACACTGTCACTGAGTTTTTCAGCCAGGAAGGGTGGATAAGGATGCTTCCTTTGGTGCCACTCTCCCTCCATTGACCAAAAATCCCTTGCCATAGTCAGTGAGTGAGCTGAGCCATATTTAGTACCACTAAAACCAGAACAAGATGCCATGAACCCAGCCTGGGTGTCCTTGTACAGCAGGAGCACTAACATAAAGCTGCCACCGAGCCAACCTCTTCAGAGTGCCCCAGAGGGACTCAAACATGAGATTCCCATGGTGTGGCAAGCTTTACCTGGCCACTGGAATATCTCCAGCAGAAGTCAATCTGTAAGGCAACACAGCCAAAGCATTCACCACTATCTTGACATCTGGGAAAGTGAGCCTCTCTTTAAGCACAGAAAGTGCAATTGCAGGTAAGGTCTTGCCATCTCCCTTCTCTCCCACAGGTCATTTTTTTGATTTGTGCCTACGTCACCGTGTATATGATCTACGTGAAATTCCGGAAAACGTTTGACAGTGAGAACGATTCCTTCCGCCTCGAGTTCCTGCTGGTCCCTGTCACAGGCCTGTCATTTCTGGAGAACCACAGCTTCACCCCCTTGGAGGTAAGGAAAAGCCGAGGCAGGAAAAGGGAAAGGAAGCAGCAGCAGCCTTACACCAGGCAGCAGAGTGAGCAGCATGTTGAATAGCCAAGATTTTTAACAGCAAAAGCAGGCAGGAAAGGCAAAGTTGGCAGGCCTTGAAGACAGTACCATCTATAGAGCAGCTCAGCGCTGTCTCCTCTCACTCCCAGCACAGCGAGCTCATTTTCCCCAACTTCAGCAGCACTACTCATCCCCCTCACACATCAGTGATTTGCCAAATGAAAAGCTTCAGGTCTTAACACATACTAACCAGCACTGACTCCCCACTGCCTTCATTTTGCACCTCACAGATACTCTGGACCTTCTCCATCTACCTGGAGTCCGTGGCTATCCTTCCTCAGCTCTTCATGATCAGCAAGACAGGGGAAGCAGAGACCATCACGACACACTACCTTTTCTTCCTGGGCCTCTACCGTGCCCTCTACATTGCCAACTGGGTCTGGCGCTACCACACAGAGAATTTCTACGACCAGATCGCTGTTGTCTCCGGGGTGGTACAAACCATCTTCTACTGCGACTTCTTCTATCTCTACGTCACCAAAGGTAGGTTGCTGTAATACTGAAAAGTTCATTCATTCTTGCAGTATAGGTGGAGCTGCAGCTTGCCATGTGTTAATCCTTACAGGACTTTATTTCTTGCTGCGTTTGTGGTAAATATTGTGCCCCTCAAGTCCAGTTTAGAAAACGTATCTATTGACAGAGAGTGGGCATCACTGCTCGCAAGGCTCTGGATGTGTGTGTGAAACACAGCAAGAATTAAATCAGAGTTAAGCCTGGTTTAACCTCCCCTCAGAAGTTAACAACTGAAGTACATTCAATTCTACATATATTTTGAAAGATTATGAATCACACAAGAAAAAAAACCAAAACCAAAAAAAACTTTGAGGGGGAAAAAATAGCTGCAGGCAGACAATGTACCTGAGAAAGCAACTGCAGACATACGGAGATATTGTTAAACCTTCTTTTCCTTTGATAGAGAAGATCAAGTTCTTGATTGTGAAGAACTGATTCTGTAGGAAGATGGGCACCTGCACAGACAAGACATTCCTCTTTTACAAAATCAGATGCCCCTTCCATTTCAGTGCCATGCTTAGGTAAATGGCCACCAGAGCTTAGAAGTGCACCAAGGGCATAAATCCTGATAGAACATGCTGTGGTTTGTGAGGCTGAAGGACACTTCAAAACACTTTTCTGTTGAGAAGGATGGAATTAGATTAAATTAGCCAAGGGAATAACCGTTTTCCTCCTTCTTCACTTTCCCCAACAAGTCTGCCAAAAGCAGTAATGGCAGCCCTCGTTTGAAATTTCAAGGGGTGGATATTTGGTAGCTTCATGCAATACACCTGCTGATAGAAAGGTGACAGGAGCACTGAGCAGGTGGCTGGCCTTGGCAGATTAAGACTTCCTTCTGTCATTAAATATTTTTGTAGCCAGAAAAATACCTTCTAAAACTGCCATTAAGGTGCTCCACGTCAATTCCTTTTTTTTTCTTTTCTAAACGAATTCCCATTTTAGCTCTGCTCAATTGATGTGTCCTGTATTTTGTGAGAAATCCATACCCTTTGTAGCTGTGATGGTGGAACAAAAGGGGGAAAAAACACAACTGCTGGCTTCCAGTCTCACACTGCTAGTGGCAGAACTGCAAAATTTAGATGATACAAGAGGCAGAAGAAAAAACATTTGTAAATGGGACATCACAGCAGGGAAAAAATTGCTTTTTTTCTCTTTTCTTTTACACAAATGCTCTGGATCATGGGAGAGAAACGGTGTCTGAAGACATGCAAATACTTTGCAATCATTATGAGAGCCAGCAATATTTTAGTAGGTTGCATCTCTTACATTCTTTCAAAAAACCAAACTTTTCAAAACATTTCTAACACTGAAGAGCTCAGAAAAAAGGGCAGCAATGATGAAAAAAGAAAGCAAAAATATGTTATATAAAGAAATGGATTTAGTAAGACTTCTGAGCCTATACCAAAGCACTGCAAAGGGATTTTTATAGAAAGCTACTTCTTTTTATCTTGTTTTCAAAACTAGATGAGCTCCCTTCTGTTTAACACAAGGACATGAAAGATATCCTGAGGAGGCTTTCAGCTTCCTAAAGATCGTGTATTTCACACAATGGCCAAGGGTGTGGGCAGTCAGGGTGGAGGGGGGAAAATCACCTAATCCATGCCCCTGCCCACATTTTTCAGGGTCTTGTCCAGTAAGAGTTTGACTATCTCCAGGGTGAAGCCTCTCTGGGCAATCTGTGCCACTGTCTGGCCACTCTCACTATAAAATACTATTTTCAGATGTTTAAGTGGAATTTCTCGTTGTCCATTGCTCAGTCACTAGGCACCACTCAGAGTCTGGGCCTGTCCACTCCTCCCATCCCACACCTGTGCACATGGGTAAGGGGCCCCTCAGCCTTCTCAACGCTGAACAGTCTCAGCTCACAGCCTGTGCTCCTACATCAAGATGCTCTTGGGGCCCTTCTTGACTCCCCATCTCTTGTTCTGAGCCCAGAGCTGAGCCCACCACTCCAGCTGTGGCCTCCCAAGGCTCAGTGGAGAGGAAGAACTCCCTGCTCATGCTGCTGGCAATGCAGCTCCAGAGGCTCTTTGCTTCACCACGAGGGCACACTGATGGCTTGTGTTCAACTTGGTGTCCACCAGCACACCAAGGCCTTTTCTGGCAAGCCGCTTTCCAGCTGGGCAGCCCCCAGCACAAACTGGTGCCTGGGGTTGTTCCACCCCAGGGCAGGATGTGCACTGGCTTTGCTGACCTTCACAAGGCCTCCAGCTCTGCACCCTGGCACAGTTCCTCCAGCCTCGCCCGGTCCATCAGGCCCTCCCTTGCGGTGCATCCTCAGCACATCACAGCCCTGCCCTTTGGCACCCAACAGACACAGCCCCAGAGCCCACCCCAGTACCACCCTGGGCCAGGCACAGCCACTCTGCACCTCTGACCACTGCACACCCAGGACAGTCCCCAATCCAGCCACCCCATCTAAGCCTAGGGGTCTCTGGCATTTCCCAGAGGCATCCCTGCCATCCCAAGGTTCAGCTCAGATGGGCTGGGAGGGGCTCAGCAGGGATCGGGCCACAGACATTGATTCAGGCCACGCTCTGTATCAAAAGGAAAGCACTAGGAATAGCACATCATCAAGAAAAATGTTTAAGATGGTCCATCCATGAGAACAAGTAACCATGCAAGTCAAAAAAGAACCTTTTCCTTTAGCACAAAGGAGGATAAACAGGTTGTGCTTCTCCCTCTTAGCAGCATTTCATAGTGGTTCTCTCCCATTGGCAGTCTGCAAACCCGGCACCCCACTATCTGGCACTCTAAATTGCAAGTCAGAAAACATAAAATTGTGGAAGAAATAAAACAGTTGAATTTCATTAAATTTACTCATTACCTTGTCTTTCTCTTTGCAGTCCTAAAAGGAAAGAAGCTAAGCCTTCCCATGCCTGTTTGAAGACATCCCACAGGCAGTGCAAGAAATTCCAAAGATGAAGCTGTTTAAGATCACAGCTTTCCTTCTCTGGCCCTTTTTGACTAATGGATGGCTCAGCAGAGTTTCAACCCAGTGCCAGGAGGACAGGGCTTGGAATGCCTTTCATCCATCAGACTCTTCCCCTCCATTGTTTAATTTCTTCTCACTTGAATTTGGTGCTAGTGCTGGCCAATACTGGCCAATACTGAAGTAGTGCAATTTCTTGTCTCCCAGCTACTCTCAAAACACACCTCCACCCTGACCCTGAGGCAGCACAAGGGAAAATGTCACTCTCACTAGTCCTTCAGCAAGTGCCCATGGTAAAGGGAACATGTAACACACTTTATTAAAGTATGCTAACTTAACTGACCCATTTCACAGGTTGCCATGTCTGACACAGCAGATGCTACAAACTGTTACTTTAACTCTGTATGAATTAGTACCCTCTTGAAAATTAATTCTGCCTGACCCTCTCTCTATTCAGGCCCTGTAACATTTAAGAAAAACACGTTGCCTTTGAATAACAGGAATCTTCTAATTCCACAAGTATTCAAACATCCTCCCTACTCACTTATTTTCAGTTTCCTTATGTTCTACAAACAGGGACAATTTCAATTACAGTTCAGGCAGTTGCCAAGAAGTGTTTCCACCTCCTTGAATTTGACTTCTAGGAACTGGGAAGAACAGGGACCAAGACAGCTTTACATTCCAAAAATAAAGACAAAGTTCACAATTTATTGACAACAGTGTTTTTATTTATACCTACAAAAGAAAACAAGATGGTATCAAAAGGACAGTTTACCAACTAAGAATAGTAACATAGCTCTTAGTATCCTGTGCCTCAACACCACAGATCTATGAATCTCTCAATTCAAGTCTTCATTAATACAACAGGAATGTGTTCAGAGACCAGCAGGTGTGTGAAACAAGATGCTGATCCCACACAAAGCTAGTAACTCTTCCATTGTTCAGAGAAATCCAAACAGTAAATTGCTTCAGGAAGTGGGAGGGGAGGAGACACCCAGCTCAGATTATCTGACACCCCCACGAACTTTTTACAGATTGAAAACAATGCAAACAACACTAGATGCTAATGCTTTATCAACAAGGGCCCTCCAGCTGGTACATGGAGCAGAGCAGAGAGCACCAGGTGGGACAGGGGCAGCACATGCCACAGTGCATTCAGCGGTCTGGTTGACACTCTGAACTGAACCGAGACCCTGGACTTCAGCTGACCTCAATGGCAACAAAGCACTGCAAGACTTGGCATTGATGTTTACACATGCACAAGTCACCCCAAAAGTGAAAGCTGTAACGGACTATAAGGCAGCTTTGGCGGTTCCAGAGACCCTTTTTCAAGCCAGTCAGTGAGATGTCCTACTCCTACATCCCTCAAATGCATTTCTGCATTCTACTCCAAAAAAAACCTCTACTTTGCTTGCGAGGGAGGCCAAAGACCTATCAGTCAGTGCCTGGATAAACAAAATATTTCTGGCTTTCACTTAAAACAAGCAAAGGAACTTCCTGCCCATGCACTGGAAATATAAAATGGAACCAGGGAACTGAGGTTCTGGAAGGAATCTCCTTTCTCCCTGTCAGCAACCTACCTGTGTGCTGCACAAAAAAAAAAAAAAAAAAAAAAAGGAAAAAAAAAAAAGCACATCCATCCCCCAAAATTTTACTCTGGGAAGAAATTAAATGTTAAAAGAAATAATTTCTGTATAAACAAGCTCTTTTTCAGGGCTATAAGAAGTTCCACTCTGCTACAGAAGGAGTGGGCTGCCTTGTTCATCTATATGCAAGAACGCCAACAGAAAAAACCCACAAGCCCCCTGCACTCTCCTAATGCAAAGAGTGTGCCTCAAACCAGGAGATGGATCCATCCTTTTGTCATCTTATCAGACCAAGAGCAGCCAACTCCTGTTATCATCTACTGTCTCTGAACCGTCTGGTATTAGAAATAACAAGTCAACAACATGCTTTACTAAAGGGGGAAACCCCCCTCACACCCACCTTAGCCTGTAAAATAAACAAGTTTTATTTACGTATGTACTAAAATTTCACTCTTCTCTAACATTTTCTAAAATACTACCTACCTGCAAGAGCTCAGCCCAAAGGGACCAGTGGAGCAGGGAAATGCACTCAAAAGCCAGAGAAAGCGATAGTCAGTGCAAGGTACAAAAGAAACAAAGCTTCAGAATCAAGATGCACTAACCAGCTCACTGCTTACCTCATGAAAAGGAGACCCCAGGCAATCTCCTCCTACGTTCCTCCCCCCGCCCTCCCCCAGCCCACCCTATTCAAACCTCTGAAATTTAAGTGTGGAAAACTCTGTCACATTTTATCGAGCGTAGCGGCACTCAGAACATTCCCCATGGCAAAAGGGAGTTTGTTTGTGAAGGACAGACAAACAAAATAACACTGTTCATTGTTTCAGTTCTGCATAATTTCTAGCTCTCAAGGAAGACTTCTTTCAATAAACCAAACAGAAATTTGAGAGCAGTAACCAATTTAATGATAATCAGGCTCCACGCATTTGCGATGCTGCAATTTAACAACTGTAGGGAAAGAACTTACTTAGCTGAACATTTCAGCAGTGGTACCCACAGCAACTGTGGGTAGATGGTTTTCAGGTGGTGAATGCAAGACAGGTTGGTCTCTGACATTAAACCCAAGCTCCCTACTGCAGGCTGTTACAGTAGCAGAAAATGGAGCTTCCAGAACTACAGAAATTGTCAATAATATATCCAAGGCTTTACTCTGAACACGACCCAGCTCAGACAAATGAGAAGAGTTTTCCTATAGAAAATCACCTACAGTAAGACTACAAGCAGTACTAGTGAGCTATTAAAAAAAAAAAAAAAAAGGATTAGGAGAAGTGAGCATTTCTCCCTTGCATTTATATTTTAAATGAAGTGCTTTTTGGCTCCCCCAGAGTTTCCTATCTCTCTTTATACTTCCTGAAATTAAGTTAATGTGTTAGAGAATAGAAACTTCTTTCCCTCAAAAGCAAATTTTCCCACAAACCTTAGACACCAAGGTGATCCAGCTGGAGCCTATCTGCCTTATACCCTTTTCTTTTAGAAAAAATAAGATTTCCAAATTCCTCAACATGCAAGACAAAAATAATAAATTTTCCAGTCAACTATACATATATCTTAAAAAAAAAAAAAAAAGAAAAAAAAAAAGAGGACAGGGTCATTGATGTGGGCTGGGGGCCATTTTTGATAGGCTCAAGGGATTTGGATAGTGAATTCTAAGTCTAACCTGCATGAGAGACATCACAATGGGAAAGAAGAGAAAGAAAAGGTTCCTTTAAATGTAAGAGGTCTACACTGGTCACCAGCAAGAGGTTTCATTTGCGGGAGGGGGGCGGGGGCGGGGGAGGGGGTGGGTACTGGTAGGTGGCAGTCTGTCCCATATAGCCCATGACGTTAGTGGCAGGGGGCTGCGGAAACTGTTGTGACATGAGCGGCTGTGGCTGCTGGCCCGAGCGCCCCACCATCCCTGCATACTGCTGTTGGGTAGTGCTCTGTGAGGTTCTCCCAGCCGTGGCAGCTGTGGTGCTGGCACCATAGCCACTAGCACTGTACTCTGCAGTGCCATAGCCACTCGTGCCATAGGCAGCTGCTCCATAGCTCCCTTGAGTGTAACCATACTGGCTCTGTGCTGCCCCAAAAGCAGAATTTGGGCTCCCGTAGGCACTGCCATAGGTCTTGTTGGCTCCGTTGGCAAAACTTTCACCACGCTCACGGTCTCTGAAGCCACCTGAGTCTCTGCGGCCCTCTTTCACTCCCCGGAGCCTCCTGTCACACTCCTCCTGGTACATCAGGTTAGGGTTGTTTACCGAACTGCTCGTTCGGTAACGAGAACGACCTCCTGGCGATGGATACATTAAGATTTAGTGCCATGAACAAGTCTTAAACAATGATCTCTGGTACACTTAGGCCACCCTTTCTCCCCCTTCTACATCTCCAATTTTGCTCCCAAGGAGCACTTTCTTCTGACTGACTGTAACTTCTCTGCACAGCTGTGCACAGGCCTCCTTATTCTGTTCAAGGTGTAAACATGAAGTTCAATAAGGGTTCTTTATGTATGTGCTTGGAGACAAAGAAACAGAAGACATTCAGGACTAATTTGGAAGTATAAGGAAACTTCTTATTCCTTCAGGGAATGGGAAGAAAAAGTGTGTCAGCTCCTGAAATTCAGTGTATTTCTTTACTGATTTCAATTTTGGACATGCACCTTGTTGCCTGTCCTTAGCAGGAGCCGTGAGGAAGTAATTACTTCAAGCAAAATCAGCTCCCTGATGACCTAATGAGGGAAAAAAATTCTACAGCTAAGGTAAAACAGGGACTGCCTCCCTCTTGGGACCAAAGTACTATTCTACATCAAGTGTTGGGACCTCAAGTACAGAACAGCCTTATTTCTACTGTGTTATCTCAGTCCCGTACTTAGTACTTCCCTACCCTCTTAACATTCCCTCCCTCAAAATGGGGAATGTATCCCCTGTGTAGCCCTTCTCCCTTGTGCCATTACCTCCACCACCACCTCCTCCTCCTCTGTGGTCCACAAGCTGCATCAGCTTTGGATTGATGGCTTGATTGGCTTCTTCCAAGACTTTGATAAGCTCCCTGGCTTGTTTCAGGTTTCCTGGTGTGAAGAAGGTGTAGGCAGTACCTTTGTTGGTACTACGCGCGGTACGGCCAATACGGTGCACGTAATCTTCGGAGCTGTTCGGATAGTCGTAGTTTATCACAAATTTAACATCTTCCACGTCTTGTGAAGTGCCCAGGAGCGAAGCACAGTGAAAGGGTGGGGTTGAGGAAAGGGGAGAAGAAGAGAGGACGTGCCAACGAAAGGTGGGGAGCACGAATGCAGGTGACAGTAATAAGAAAAAAAAATACAAAGTTAGTAATGGCACGGAATAAATACAAGACAGACTCATCCCAAAAGAGTAGAAGACTGAAATTTAAGATCATCAGGAACAAAGGTCAGTGTCCTGAAAAAGAATGGCAATTTTAAAGCAGCTTTGCCTGCACTCAAAGTCATCCTCCCCGGAATGCATTTCTCTGTCTTCTTCTGTCAAAGACGCTGCTGTTTGTGAATAAGTTAACTGAATTTCGTATTTCTTTTTAACACAATCTGTAAAGTGAAAATGTCACCATCAGACAGAGCAAACTGGGGTGGAGGAAGGGCAGAA